GATAAATCCTATAGTTAGTCGGCTTGGTTTCCTGACTTATTCCTTATATTATGCTGCTATAACCTTAGATTACCGAAGAACAAATTGATCTCATTTCATCAAATGAACAGACACAAATACAAATGAATAGTTTGTATTATTTTTTCTTAACATGTGATTTCTGTCTTTTTGTCTTTCCTCCTTAAACCTGATGGCCTCCGTCCTGGACCTGCCATTGTGTATCTGTTCCTACCAGACCCAGCCGGTCGAAGCAGATGGCAGCTTGTCTTGGGTCTGGTTCTGTTAAAGGTTTCTTCCTCATGAGGGAGTTTTTCCTTTCCACTGTTGCCTCTGCGCTCGCTTAGGATGGGTGACTGTGCTGAAGTGAAAACTCAAAGCGATCCGTTGGCTCCTCAGATAAATAACATTATTAACTGACTTTTTATATATGAATGTTTCTGTGCAGTGCCCTGAGATGACCTCTGTTGTGATTTGGTGCTACAGTATATAAATCAACTGAATTGAATTGAAATCTAAGCACTAAATTAAGAAATACTGCGAAGCTTCCTATGACTGGTTGTTGACTCGTTCATGCATTTAGGATGGTTTTAAATGAGTCAAAGTGTTTTATTGATTAGTGGCATGCCCGCTGTTTTGTTAGCTGATCTGATTTTTTTGACAGGAGGAGACCAGGCTGAAGTGGCTGCAGGATTTCTCTGACATCAGCTGTCTCTTTTATTCTCTCATCTCTCTGTTGCCACAGGGCAACTTCTGACCAGAACACAGACCTCATTATTTTCAAGTTATCTTTGCGTATATGTGTGTTTTGTTTTCATATCAGTGTGGAGACTTTAAATGGATGGCATGCCAGCCCCACCGCATCTCTTCTCTGCTACAGAAGTTTGTTTTTTTAAGGTTAAGACTTGGTTTTGGGGTTTGTGTTAAGTTGTTTGAGGTAAGGGTTAAAGTGAGGCGAATGTAGACCGCTTTTGTTGGTAAATGTCCTCATGGGGATAGTGGAACAAACAAGTGTGTGTGTGTTACATAAGACAGCTGTTCATGTGGCCATAATCAAATCATTCCCTTGAATGAGTCGAGTGGATGTGAGGGCCTCTCAGAGTCTTTGCTCATGTCTCTTTCTGTGTCCATATGAGTTCCTCACCCCTGCTGGTTTGTCCTCCTGCGTCTAAACGACTCTCATCTTCTGCTTTACTGCACTTTCATTTTAAACTCGCATGCAGAACACTCTCTACATTATTTGCTCTGTATGTCTGTGAGCTGCCATATACATTTTCTGAACATTCTTTTAGTAAAAATATACTGGATAACCTCAGAGAGTAGGCAAACCGTTTATTTCTTTTTACTTGGTAAGTTTTAAAAAATGATGTGAAACGTTTCTCTAAGAAGAAACATTGTGGTCTCCACTCGATGTGCAAAAGTTTTTATTCATTTGTTCCGAAGTGTGAACCAACAGTGGAGCGGTGAGCTGAAGAGATCAACAAACCTTCATCTAGATGTTTCGTCTGTCAGGTTAGACTCAAATTAAAGAAACGGTTTGATACATTTTGAGAATTAAAATAAAAAAACTTCTCTGTCCATGAGCACGCATCATCTGCCCATGGGAAGGCTCAAAAACTGCAGATTGGATTATGTTGTTTTCCGTAATCACTGGTAAAACAAAAATAACTTTTGTTTTTACTCTTTATTAAGTGCAGTAATGTTTGATTAGAAAAGTTTTTATTTTTTAGAATTTTTATTAATTTTTTTAACGTCACCACATCGGTGGAATCGGGGTCTCGGGTCATGTTTGTCTTGTCGTGGGGATGCTTTGATATGATGTGCAAGTTCAAAAAGTGTCAACTAACAATAAAAAGGATTAAACTGTTCCTTATCAAACCACCATAAACAAAAAAAAAACAAATAGGGTTTTACACCTCTGGCGGTTTATGATTCATTTGAGAAGAATATAATCATAAAACCAGTATTTCACAGTTTCATCCAGAAAATTAGAATAGAAAAAGAAACTTTACAACTTCAAAATGCTAATTGTAGTCTTCTTGGCTCTGGATTCCTGTGCAGCATAATGTTCACATTACATAACGTCTCCTTTTAATTTATAAAGACGTTAAACATGAAAGTTGATGTGAACAAAATACGGTGCTTTGCCGTAAATTCCACAGCTTTTAAGGATCTTAAACTAGTCTGCTTCTGAATTTTCAGGCAGACGGGGTGATCACCACAGAGCATTCCTGCTGCTGTTCCTACTTGGCACCACTTGTACCTGCTCACATTCAGTTTTTAATCCAAAGGTCAGCTCCACTCTGACATTTTGTTCTACCCAATCGTCCTTCTGGTCTTTATTCATCACAATCACTCAGGAAACAAACAAAGATGGATGAAAACCTAAGTTTGACTGGGTTTGTGAAATATTGACATGTAAAAACACGCAACCCTCATCACATGACCTTAATGAAAAGCTTTTGGGGTTTATGTTTTGAGTAACTGATACTTTGTTGGAATCACATCACTCCAAAAAGTAACATCTTTAAACAAAAAAAGAAGTTTCAAGACGTCACCTACGTTTAGGTATTTTATAATAAAATACAACAAAAAGCCTGCATTTAACACATACGTGACCGTTACATCAGAGCAAGCGCCATCGAATGAATTAGTGCCACCTCAGAAGTTGGAGCTCAGCTGATGTGGTCGACCCAGATGTGCAGCGCTGTGCTGCTGTCGGGATCGGTAACGACGGCTGCTCCTTGGCCCGTTGGAGCCAGTGGAGAGTAAGGAAGGATTTAATGAGCAATGCTACTCAGCTCTGCTCACTTTCTGTGTAAAAACAAATAAATCAACAGATGCTAGTAAAATTATAAATATATTGTGGCACAGTAAAATCCTCCCTCAATTTAAGTTTACAATTTTTTTTTACATTTAACATTCGGCGAATAGTTTTGTGGTTATATCTGAAGGTTAAATTCTGTGTTAAGTTCCTTATTTTAAAAACTAACCAATAATTTGACACTTTGTTCCATTTTAATGTCTTTATTTGTCCTCTAAAGACAAGATTTAGAGCAACGTGACAAGGTCAATGTGACAAACAGCTGGTTAATGACAATGTGGGTTAGAGACAGCTGAGGAAAATAACAATAAAAATCCAAAGATGAGCTTTAACACCACAGTGCAGACAAGAAAAAGCCGATCCAGTCTCTTTACAGATTTTCCACATGTTCAAAAAACATCTTAAAAACAAACACTCAGGAATAAATTGACTGAAGACGTCAAACCATCTTCAACTTAGTTAAAACCGTATCGACACATTTTAACTCGCATCACACACGTGAAAGATGAACCCTATCTGAACACGGCTGATTATTCAAAATAACACAGCAAAGGCGCTCCAAACCTTTGGATAGTCACACGCATAAATTAAGAAATAAATACACTTTCTCTACTAATATTCAGAGCAAGGACACTTGGAAAAGAACCTGAACACAGCAGGATAAAAACAAGAGATCCTCATCTACCCTTGAGATCCAAAAACCGTGTAAAGATTTCATGCTGCACATTTATGAGGAGGGACTTGAGAATGATGCTTAAAAACAGGTCAGGCACGTTGAGAGTATGGGAAAAAAAAAAAAAAACTATCTATATATATAGATATATATATATATATCAATATGTATATCTATATATACCAGAGAAAATACGATTTATCGTATTGACAAACTCTAAGTTTACACCCTCAAAATTATTTATATTAAAAGAAAAAGATGGAGATTTTCTCCCAGTAGTTTGTGTTCACCTCGATCAGCTTACGTCAATTTGAAATCGTTTGCCTGCGACTTGCTTACTAAAGAAAAAGCAACTTCATCCCAACGACAGCAAATGATTTTAGAAACTGGATTTTTTTTTTTTTTAAAGGCTTCGATCAAGGCCGAACACATTCGAAGTTTTAGCATCAGATGATGAAAATTATCTGTACGTGTCTGAATTTGAACAGATTTAGTATCTTTACATTTCACACAAACACACATCACAAAAAAAACAAAAAACTCAACAAAGTTCATGTTCGGTGTCGCAGTGACAGACTCGACCTCAAAATAAATCCCGAGATCTTCGGTCTACATTAGTAAACTGACTCCAGACGAGTGCTACAACCTAAAAACCTCCTCTCCAGGTTGTCAGAAGTGTTTTACGTCGCTGTCCGTCATCTGTCGTCTGCTGTTTGTGATGCTCTAAATGTTGTGAGAGGACGACGCTGAGCCAAACAGTGTGATCAGCGATGGTCCCAAACGTAGATCAGCACAACCTCTCAAAGGCACTCACCATCTCCTCAGAGAGAAACAAAACAAAACTTGGGCACATACACAGAAAAGCTTGGTTACTTGATTGTTAACTCATTAGATGGCCTTAGTTGAGGTGATTTGGCAAGATGGGAACACCTAACAACAGACTGTAGTTACTGAGGAACAGCTGAGAGACGCACCAGGACAGAACTTGTAATCTTATTTATTTAATGACCCATAAAAGTTTTACTTCTGGTTCATTTAATCCACATTCAGTTGGAAAACAAAGTATATCTCCTCAGCTTTGGAAGCTGGTTGTTCTCCATTTAAAAAAACCCTTTAGTGTAAATATGGTACAGATATAAAACTGCTGCCCAGGTCAGCTTCCCTTTTCACCGTCATAAAAGGAAAAAACTGAAGGTTTCCTATTGTTGAATACAGATGATGTCAGACAGGCCCTGTCCATAGTGGGAGGGTATGGAAGACATTAGTGCTGGTTAAGATTGCATTTTCAAAGGCATTGTGTGTAACATACAGTTCAGAGGATTTATTAAAAAAAAAAAAAAAAGAATACATTTAAGTCAGTGTTACACATGTGAGTGGAACCATCTGGTCTGTTTAAAACAAGCAGCTTGTCATGTTTGATTAAATGTTTTGGTAAAAAAAAACCCAGTTCGTTACAGTTTGTTCGGCTCCTTATTGGTTGGCAAAGAGCTGCAGGTCAAGTCGGACCCACACCTCTCCCGTTGAAACTTCGTGCAGCAGCAGACGGCGCGTCACCGGTCCCTTGTTCTCCAACTCTTTCTTTATGGTTGCTACGGGAACCTCTGTCCTCCCAAGAAACACTGATGTGAGAAAAGCAGAAAGGGTCTCGTGTTAGAATGTACTGGAAGGCAAAGTAAAGGTGAAATAATTAACAACGCAAGAATTACTTTGACCTGATGGATCCACGGGGGTTTGAGGGAATATTTGTTATGATGAGGAGCAACTGAGTTTTCCTTTGCTTAATGTAAAAATATATGCTGATCCACTAAAGTCTATTCAAATTTCCATCAAAGTTTACTGTTACTAGTTTTAATTCATAGAAACATTAAAGCTGGGTGTGATTTTTTTTCACAAGCAGTGAAACACTGAAGATAGTCTGAACTAGGGGTACAGAAAAAAAAAAGATTTTTAAAAGAATCTAGATTCTTAGTCCTGGTGATTCTGAATCGATTCTATAAATCGATTTTAAAATATGTTGAATTTTATTTTTTTTCTGCTCCTACTCCTGAGTGTACTGCATATCGCTTTGCGTGTCCGCTCAGCTGGCGAAGAATTTTGGCCATGTAGGCCACCGTACAGCAAGCTAGTTAGCCAGCTCCCTTTATCTGAATGGAACCTGCTAGCATGGAGGAGGGGGACGGCGTGATTCAACCCGCTCCTTCGTCTTTAAAAATCATTTCAGATCCTACAATGTTCTGGGGGAAGACAGAGCTTAATAAGAGCACGGTTGTTTGCAAGAAGTGTAAAATAAAATTGCGGTACAGTATTTTGGAAATACGACAAAATGCGTGGAAGATGAAAGCGAAGCAGCCGACCAGCAAACTCTGCAACAATCTTCCAGCTGATTCCCCAAAGTCTGCGAAGATTTCCCTCTCCATCTTCTGCTGTACCACAAAGGATTTAATTCAATTCAATTCAAAAATACTTTATTAATCCCAAAGGGAAATTATTTGTTGTTGTAACTCATTATCTTCATTTCATTAAGAGATGTTACAGATACTGATGGCTGTAGGCAGGAAGGATCTCTTGTAAAGGTCCATCCCACAGTGGATCCTAAGAAACTGGCTCCAGATGCCATCCGATCCGTCCACCCAGACTCGGCTGGCCTCTTGGTTCCCCCGGGCTGTAGGACCGCCCGAATGTCAAGCAGAACTCCTCCCAGAGTGATGGCCACTCCTCCCAGCAGTCTGCCGAGCTCCTCGTCACTGTGGACAGCCAACTGTAGGTGTCGAGGGACGATCCTGTCCTTCCACTGTCATGAGTCGTGTTTCCTGCTAGTTCCAGGATCTCAGTGGTCAGGCACTCGAGCACAGCTGGCAGGTAGATGAGAATGTGTCCACAGAACATCCTTTCAACTCATTTGAGATTTGGGGCTGTAGTTGAGATATTATTTGAGCTTTTGAGATGTTAATCAGCTGTTGTTGGTTGTAGAAAACTGCCTTGTTGCCATGGTTACGCATCATAACAAATGTCCAAAACTAAAAAAGCCTCAGTAAAAGTCCTTCCAGCTGCACAGCATCTGCTACCAGAGGAAACAATCATCCAAAAAATGTGATTTACATCCAGAAAAAGAGGAATTAAAGTTTCCAAAAGCAAAATCTCAGAATGAAAGTTACAGAGATGCTCCAACATGCAGCCACCTTGAGCGGCGCAATTCTAGAACAATTTATGAGCAAACAGCTCAGTGGAAGGCGAGGGGTTAAATTTTATTTTTAATACGCTGGACCAAATGTACGTAATTCCTTCACATGGCTTTTTAGAGATAAACCTGCATGAGGGTCAGAATATAGACAGCAGTAAATTGAGAGCTTTGCCCTTCAACTCAGTTCTTTCTTCACCAAAGCAATAACCTCATTACTGAGGACGAAGGCCCTAATCCGTTGAATCAACTCCTGCTCGATCCTACCATCACTTGTGAACAAGACTCCTAGATACTCAAACTCCTCCACCTGAGGCAAAGTCTTCCCTTGATCTGGAGGTGGCATTTCATGGTCGAGAACCATGGCCTGGGATGGTCTTGGCTTGAAGACTTCAACAGAAGCACATCATCCGCATAAAGCAGAGATGAGACCCTGAGGTTCCCAAACCAGACACCCTCCTCTCCACGACTGTGTGAGATCCTGTCCATGAAACCAAACAGGATCAGAGACAAGGGACAGCCCTGGCAGAGTCCAACCCACACTGAGAACAAGCTCAACTTTGTGCCCAGTATGTGGACACAGCTCCTGCATTGGTTATACAATTCAATTCAATTCAATTCAAAAATACTTTATTAATCCCAGAGGGAAATTAAATGTTGTTGTAGCTCATTTTCCTTGTTTCATAAAAGAGTTGTTCTAGATGTTGATGGTTGTGGGCGGGAAGGATCTCTTGTGATGGTCCGTCGTATAGCAGATCTGAAAAAACTGGCCACAGATGTTGATCCGTTTACTTGCACTTGGTTGGCCTCCTGGGCTTCAGGATCACCTGAATGTTGAGCAGAAATCCTCCCAGGGCAATGGCCACTCCTCCCAGCAGCTTGTTGAGCTCCTCATCGCTGTGGACAGCCAACTGTAGGTGCTGATGGACGATCCTGTCCTTCCGCTGTCATGAGCCGTGTTTCCTGCTAGTTCCAGGATCTCAGTGGTCAGGCACTCAAGCACAGCTGGCAGGTAGATGAAAATGCGTCCACAGAACATCCTTTTCAACTCATTTGAAATTTAGGGCTGTAGTTGAGATATTACTTGAGCTTTTGAGATATTAATCAGCTGCTGTTGGTTGTAGAAACTGCCTTGTTGCCATGGTTACGCATCATAACAAATGTCCAAAACTAAAAAAGTTTCCGTAAAAATCCTTCCAGCTGCACAACATCCGATACCAGAGGAAACAATCATCCAAAAAAATGTGATTTACATCCAGAAAAAGAGGAATTAAAGTTTCCAAAAGCAAAATCTCAGAATGAAAGTAACAGAGCTGCTCCAACATGCAGCCACCTTGAGCGGCACAATTCTAGAACCGAATTCTAGAATTCTAGAATTCTAGAATACAGGGACTGGATAGCTCTGAAAATCAACCCAGGTGCCCCACACTCCTGCAGCACCCCCCACAGAATGTCTTGAGGAACACATGGTCATAAGCCTTCTCCATGTCCACAAAACACATGTAGACTGGAGAGGCAATCTCCCATGACCCCCTTAGCCACTATGCAAGGGTGAGGATCTGGTCCACTGTTCCACAACCAGGACAGAAGCCACACTGTTTCTGCTGAATCTGAGGTTCGACAATTGGTCGGAGCCTCCCTTCCAACACCCTGGAGTAAACATTCTCAGGGAGGGTGAGAAGTGTGACCTCACGATAGTTGGAATTCACTCTCCGTTTCCCTTTTTTAAAACATGGGAACCACCACCTCAGTCTGCCACTCCTCAGGCTTTGTCCCAGCCTTTCATGTGACACTGAATAGATGTGTCAACCATGAAAGTCACAACATCCAGAGCCTTCAGCACTTGGAGTGAATCTCATCCACCCCTTCCACTGAGGAGCTTTTTGACTACCTCGGTGATCTCTGCCATGGTAATGGACTCATGTTCCCCAGAGTCCTCAGATTCTGCCTCCTCAAATGTGGACATGGTGGGGGGATTTAGGAGATCCTCGAAGTGCTCCTTCCACTGCTCAACAATATCCTCAGTCCGGGTCAGCAATCCCTCACCCAAACCAAAACACAGCATGGGAAGGGGCCTGCTTTCCTGTTCTGAATCACCAAACAGTTTGCCAGAACCACCTCGAGGTCACTCGTGAGAGAGTTCAGAGATAGGAAAACATTTTCAGAATGAGATAAAAATAAAAGAAGAAGCTGGTGTAAGGAGTTTGTAGCTTACCATCAGGAGAAAACGGGTCTTTTTCATTTATGGTGATGCAGAGGACATCTTGGTAAAGGTCCTTGATGTGAAACTGACAGCTGAAGTTCCACTTGGGGTTCTGAGTGTCGTTGAGCGTTCTGGATGTGAAGGTTTGAGATCCCATGGTCACTTCACAGTAACAGTTACTCTTACCTGCAGGCAAAAAAAGGACCGGCATGTGAGGGGGTTAACACAAAGGATGGAAAACAAATTTAAATGAAGTAAATTAAAACGAAAGGAAGAAGAAAAAAAAGAAACTATAGTGTGCAGAAGAAGCTAAACCTGGATTTTAACACAACTAAAAATTACAGTGTATTTTAGCTATATCTTTAAAATATTCACTCCATTGTGTGAATACACTTTTAATCACCGTTAGGTTTTGAAGCCCTGAGTTCAGTGGCTTCCAAGATGTTGACTAGGAGTCTGCCGATTCCACTAGCCTTCATAGATCGCCCTGCAAATGAGCACAAATTGATAAAAAAATGACAAAATCAACACAGTGTTTGGCAAAACGGTTTTCAAAAACAAACCTTGATAAACCTTTTCCCTTTTTTTATTGTCAGTCTCGATGAAGTTCTCAGACGCCACCTTTATCTTCTGAACCCACGCCGTCCTGACAACAAAAAACGCACACAGCAGTTGTAAAAACACCCAGTGTGTTGCTTTTTGTGTCTAAGTGTGTGCGTGTGTGTGTGTGCGTGGCTACCGTTCATTGATGTTGTCGGTCCTGAGAGAGTAGACTCTGTCGATGTGTGAGATGTGGAAGATGGGTTCCTCGCTGGAGGGATCCGGAAGTTTCACCAGGACTTCGTTCAGCAGCACAGGCTGGAGGGAACAAAAGATGGCTGTCATGCATGAAAACACACAAGCAATGAATAATAATCTAAATATTTTGTGTGCCTCTCTTACTGGTTTATACATCTTGAGCTGCACGTTGTTCTTGTTGCTGAACAGTTTGTCAGGCCCAGATGAGGTGAACTGTTTCACTGGATAAGTTAAAAGCAGGAAGTCATTGAAGAGGAAAGCCCAGAGCTCCTTGTTGCTCTTTGCCTTGTGCAGCTGAAAAGGACAAAATGTGACAATCACTCAAATATGTGAGCAACAAACAACAAACCACATTTAAGTTATGATTTTAAAAGCTTTGGGAAAGTTGGGAGATACACGTTTAGAAAATGCTCCTGTTAAAAAGTTCAATTTTCAATTCTGTCATGGTGATGGAGTAAAAACATAAAAGCAAATATTTGAATATGAATAAATTTGTTATTAATATTAACAAATTTAAGTTGTTTCTTATAGTTAGTTCATCAGGCTCTGAAAGTTTCACTTCAAATTTTCAATCTTGAAAAAAACTAAACCAAACAAAAGTTGTGTTAGCATGGCTGCATTAGCTGTTCCCAGACTCCAACAGCATTTTGGTGTTACTTACTTTACCGCTGTGCAGCAGTTTCCTGGGACCCAAACAGCTGGTAAGGGAGTTAAAGACCAAATGCTGTGAAACAAAACAGTCAAGAAATTATCTTTTGAATTGGATAAAGTAAATGGAGATTGGTTGATTGGAGTGACTGTGGGTTAACAGCAAGCTTTTTACCTCCAGAGGACCTTCACACTGTACGTGGTGCTGAATCCACTCTAGTCTCTCAGAGTTTTCCTTCTCCCTGACACCCTCGTTCACCTGAAAAGAAAACCTCTTACCAGTTCAATCAAAAGGCCAGATCTGTCTTCAGCCACAATAGAGGAAAACCAGAATAATGAGTGAAATAACCTGTTGACAGAGTTCCTCAGCCCTCTCCAGAGCCTCTTTCAAGGAACTTCGGTCAGTGTGACCCTCTGGCGTACACTCCAGAATCTACAGTCATATAAATTGCTCAATAACTTAAAAACATTCATAACTACCAGGACAAAAAGCATACCAAAACAGGCCAACGTACTTTTTTGATGTGAAGTGGGTAACGTGTGATCCTCTGCATGGGTTTTAGCAGGAAGCTGGACAGCGGCATGCCCTTACATCTGTAGTCTGTAGCAATTTTCTGGTAGAAATAAAAAATATTTATATAAAAGCCATTGTTTCCACTTTCATATACAGGACAAGGGTTCAACGCAAGTTAAAAAAGACATTATATTTTATTTTTGAATCACTGAAAGTGTCTCCAATGCAGCAAAGGTGGACACAAATTTCTTCAAGCCTCACACCATCCTCTCCCTCCTACCTTGAGGAAGCTCTTGAAGTCCGGCTCGTTGTCGGTGCGAGTCTGCAGCAGCGCAGCGCCATTGAACTGGCTTGAACAGAAACGGATGTAGGGCTGCATGTTGGACAGCTCGGCTGCCAGGATATCTCCGATCTTCTGCACCGGGGTGTTCTCTCCACCGCTCTTCTTGCAAAGACGGAGAGCCCTGCAGAAACATTAACAGTTGTCTAAACAGATTTATATTTTTGCCCAGTAAAAAAAAAAAATCATATAATCCACAGCAACTGAAACATTTAATTCCTGTATCCGTTTGCTCCAGTCGTGTGACATTTACCTGACTAGTTTATTGTTACAGGCCAGCAGATCCACCCAGTTGACAAAGATCATGTCCATCTCTGTCTTATTCAGCCGACCTGACTCAGACATAGGCTTGTGGAAAACCTGCAGACAGAAACAAGATAGATTTACATAGACAAAAGACCATTACACCGTCTGTCACATCTCAGCCTCACAAAATGATCTGCAAGAGCATGTAACTTAATTTGCAGGATTTTACCTCCAACACCACCTGCAAGTCTTCCACATATCTCTCCTCAGACTCAATGAGCTCATCAATATAACCTTGTGTTTTTTTATCCACAGGGCCTTGAGAGTCCAGACTGGTCTGGTCTGATCCCCCTGTAGGAGAGGAGCAAAAAACTAGGATGGCAAACTACATACAGGTGGCTTAAAATCACAACACTTCTGCACTGCCTCCTACAGGATGAACAAGAAAACAAACATTTTATGATTATTTCTGAAAAGTTCACAAAAAAGAAAAAAAAAAAAAACAGGAGGAGAAGGAAGAAGAATGAAGCGCTGCTGATCTCTAATCTCAGTCATGAAATCCTCTCTTACCTGGCGCACATTCACCATCTGACCATTCTGACGCATTCAGACAAAGTGTCTGCAGCTCACTCTCAGACTCCCCTCCTGCTTCCCCCTCATCGTTTATCTCATCCCAAAGGTTCAGAAACTGAAATCTGCACTCTGAAGACATCGATCTCAACGGGATTCTATTTCCTCAGGTATTTTAGTCGACTCAGAGTTTGTCTCTGACTGCCTTGTCTCCTACTACTCTTGTGTTTTGTCTTTTCATAGCGGCTAAATCTGTTTGTACCAAAACAGGACCCTCCTTGTCTTTAGCTTCACAGGCTTGAACTGAGGATACAGCTAGACGTTTGTTAGTTTCCTCCCTGGAAAAAGCATGAAAAACTAGAAAAAGTGACCCATCTTTGGCAAAACCACAAAAATATGTTTTTTTCTTTTTGAGAATCACTCCTTTGAGACAACGTAACAAAAGATGCTGACAAAAGAAGTAACAATTTATCAAATTAAAAAACCAACAGGCAAAGTGGTCTTGTTGACAAAAGGCTGTTCACATTTTATCTGTTCATCTAAATCTCTGGTATTCTGTGGACAATACAAACAGAAACATTGTGGAGCAGTGTAAAGATAAAGCAGTTTGCCGAACATGAATATTTCACTAAAAAGAAATTTCAAACGACCTTTATTTTTATTTTGCAATAAGAAAAAAATCCTGCATTTTATAGAGAAGCATAAAAAATACACCATCTTGTGACAAAACATTTTAAAATATATTTTTAAACATGTTCTTGTGCTCAAAACTCTTAAAGCTCAAGTCCAATTTCATCTAAAATTTCCCATGCATGCTAATGGAAGTATGAGACAAACTGCAGCTGTTCTACACTAAATTAAAACAAGAGAAAAATGCAGCAAATGGTATTTTGGCATGTTTCATTCGACTCTGTACCATGGCTTGGTAAACCAATGTGACAGAGTAATCTTTATGATCTTCAGGGAAAAATTGTTTTCCCTGCCGCAGTCAGACTGATGGCAAAACAAAACTACTGCTGAGGTGCAATAATAACCCCACACTACCCAACTTCACTTGTCATGGGACATGGTTTACTTTCTGTACAGTGTAGATAGAAACCACTTCGTTTTCATCTTAATTTTATTTAGTGATCAGTGTTTTTGACTCCGACTGTTAGAACTTTGCACAAGAACTCCTATGTGCCTGGATCGATGGTCTGTGCACAAATGGCAAACAAAGAACTTTGAATAAAATTCATACACACAAGTTCAAACTATTCCAGTTTTGTCACTGTATCAACGTGTAACCTGTAAATAGATGTGAAAGAAAAGAACAGGCAAGCATCAGAGAAAACCCACTATTTCACACTTTTCCCCCCAGCGTTGTCAGCTTAAAACCTAAAAAAAAAAAAAAGTTAAAAAGCCCAAGGCTTTAAGAATTTACAAAACTGGTAAATGCAGTCATAAAAATGTTTCAACACCCAATGATTTAACAAAAAGTCAGTTCTCTCAGTATTTTTTTCTCATTGACTAAAGTTTGTGGTCTGCATTTCCTCGACACAAACAGAGAGGGATAGTTGGTCTCTGAGGCCAGCAGGGGAAGAGTCTACCGCCCTTTGAGGAGAAAGACGAGCAGTGGAGCAAGAAAAGAAGGATAGAGAAATAAAGGTTGGGAAAGGAGGGAGGAAGTGAGGAAAAAAGTGAAACAGTCGATGGGGAAAAGCTGAACAGAGAGACCTGCTGATAATAAACTACCAGGTAGAAAAGAATACGAAAAGTTTTGGGATTAGTTAGTCTCAGATGTTTAAAACAAGAAGAAAGACGCCATGTTTCAAACGTGCATTTGCATGACTTGAGCTTTACTCACATTGCTGATTGGGGTCAGAATCCGCTGACATCTTGATATAATTGGTGGGGAACAGGCCGGTGACCCCGTTGACTTCTCCTTTCCACCAGTCGGGGTCGTTCTTGTCTAAAACATTGATCAGCTGCCCTTCAGTGAAGCTCAGCTCATCCTGATTGGCAGCTGTGTAGTCATATATGGCTGTCACCTGACAGACTGAGGCAGAGCAGGACAAAATGTGTTATTTAGCCACAACATCTTTCATTCAGGTAGCAGGTTTGTCCTGAATGTGTTACCTGGTTGGGGCGCTGGTGTGGATTTACCACTACTGGATGACAAGACTTTAACATGAGAGGATGGGAACCAGCCTTTCTGACGCTTCTTTCCACGAGCCTATTAACGAAAGAACAACAAACAGATTGAAGGATTTTAATTAAAGTCCAAACAACACAGTTTTATATAAAAACCCTCCAAACAAAGGAGTCATGGGAGTAATCTGTAGGTTGTTTATTTCTTGGACATAACCCTAATTTATTATTATTCCATGTCAGCTGGTGAAAAAAAAAATCTGACATTTCTACAGAGATGTTTATATTTCAGTAATCTGGTTACAGCTGACAAAAACAAAAACTCAGAAATCACAATCTACAATGATTTATTTTAAGTGTTTGCACAAACTGGAATGCGAATTTATAAAAAGGTAACAGAGTTGAGGCGAGTGCAGCTGAAGTAACCTGACAATAGCCATGTTTACATGCGCAGATCTCTTTGACCGGATTTAAATGTTTTCAGATTAAATAATTTGAATGTGTCGTTTACATGGGCACAGTCTGTTCACGATGAGCATTTACATGCAATGGCCTTTTATTCTGAATAGAAGTACTGACATGCGCTGAGTGGTAAAATCTCCTTCAATAAAAAACAAAAAAAACCCACAACAACAACACAGAAGACGAAGCTCTACTTCCGGGATGAACGTAAACAAACCTGAGCGCTCAAAATGGAGCCGCGACAGGTTTTAATGACGGTGAAGACGTTACTGCACTCTGACTGAGCTGCAGGTAATACAGATCATTTTGAGCTCTTTCAAAGTTTCTAACAGAAATGTTGTGTCGCTCATCGACCAGTTTTGCTTCCCCGACATGCTAATATTATTAACATTAGCCAGGCGGAAATACGTGAGGTACACATAGGTCACACAATCAGGTCAGTTTTCAACGATCGAAATAAAATGATCAGATTAAGTGTTTACATGCGCACCGTTCAGATTATGAATCGGCATAAATCACCCGTTTCATTCTGATTACAATTTTTTTCAGATCGAGCTGAATCAACAAAAAATAACCCGAATGGGGCGTTTACATGACATTTTTATTCCGAATGACCGTTTAATTCTGATTACTTATGTCCATGTAAACATTGTGACGGTTTACAAGCGGGTTGTCACAACATAGCTAATGATTATCCACTGCACTCTGAAAGAATAAATATGAACAGGTTCATCACTGACCTGAAGTTCTCCGAGCCACCAGCCAGAGGCATTCTTGCCAAAAATGAGAATTAGCTGGCCATTTTCCAGATTCAGCTGGTCGGGGCCAGCAGATGGGTGGGCTCGAATCACCTGGGCGATTTCTGTGCACACAAGACACCGAAATAACTTGAACTGAGGCAGAACACCTGATCTGGACTCGTGTTTCTACAGGCATGAGAACTAAGGGTACACTTGAGATACAAATGTGATAAAATACAAACATGTTGTATTAAAATATAATTAAATTACAATATTATTTTAAAGGAATTTCACACATTTATTGTGCATTCAAATCTTTTGATAAAAATGTGGATTCACACATTAAAAGGTAGGTGAAACTAATCTTGACATTTCAAGATTTTCAAACTGGAAACTTGGGAGTGACAATAAAAAAATAAAAAAAACTTCACATATGACCAACAATAAAAAAATAACTCATTTATGACCAACAATAACAAAAGCCTCTCATATGACAGAAATAAAATGACACAAAATGTCTGGTTCTGGTGAGCAATTTAAACAAACCTTAAAAACCATTCGGACCTAAACAAAGTTTACATTTTACAGCAACAAAGTTATCTCCAACTACCTACTCCACCACATTAAATCCAAGAGCAAATTAAGGCAAAATTATTTCTCCAAGAACCTCAAAATTTGGTACAAACTCCAACAGAAACTGGATCCTCATCACAACCCCAACACAGACTGGCTCATGAAAACAGAACAGGAGAGTTGATAAAATAGCAAAGTCAACGTTGAAACTTTAATGTTAGGGGAGATAGAAAAAAAGAAGAAACGTTTACATTTTTGACAGCTGAAGGGAATGTAGATTAACGAGTGCTCGGAAATAAAGACTAGTGGAAAAATATGCTGAACACATCCAGAAGAATTTTATTTTCTGTAAAGGAGCACAATATGAGCTGCTGAGCCTAAAAGTGTACCTTTTCCCAACAATATTACATCTACTAATTTAATATAGTTAAAGAAAGCCAATCATCTGCACAGAACATCCAAAATATTCTTGCTCATGCTAATTAAACTCAAACAAGGTGCGTTTAATTTTTCACATTACATTTGTGTGAATCTTGTGAAAACATTAAAATATTTTTACCTTGTTTTTTCTTTCCAGATATGCTTGATGTCTGAAACAAAAAACAAGTTGAGTTCAGTTAGATTTTAAATACCTCTTAATTTAAACGCTTAGCAGAACTTGGATGAACAATTTATGGTGACAATGATCTATTTTTAACACAAACTAGTCTAGAAAATGACAGAACAGCTTCTCATGAACACAAAAGTTTAAACATATGTCCGTATGTGTTAGTGTTCTTACATCTGCCTCTTTAGGTTTGACATAGTTGCTTGGAAAAAGGCCAGAGTGCTCTCCCGTCGAGCCGTTCCACCACTCTCCTTCTTTCTTGTTCACCAATATTACATCTCCTTCTTTAAATGTCAGGTCACGAGGCTCTGGAGATTCATACGTGTACAACGCTACATACTCTGCAAAGAAGAAAGAAACCTTAAACATTAATAAAGCAATGTTGCTGTGGTCAGATAAGCTAAACTCCATTATTGGATGGTCAGGCCTCATCAGCAAGACAAAAATGATGTGTAGTATTCCATCGCCCTGCTAAAGAAATCTGTGTAGGATGTCAAAATTATCAATGAATAAAAAAAGTATGTGTAGAGCAACAGCAACACATCTGTGCCAAACAGCTGGAATAATTTGACGTGTTACTGTACCTTCACGTTGAAGGCTGTCAGCTGATTCTGCAGCATCAGGAGGGGAGCTCTTCGTGCTAAAAACAGAGAATCCATTACTTCACTTATTTATTTCTATTACCATTTAGTTATATTCTTATTTAGATTAGAGTAAAACCACCAAACTCCTCATCACCACATGTTAATGTCCTTCAGTTTGACCTGTAAGGTAATCCACAGTCAGATGACTGAAAGCTAAGTTATAACAGGTCAGGCCTCCTGAACTCTGTGCTGCTTTAGCATTGAGCCAAACCTGAATACAAACGGGAGAAATTTGGAACATGCACCTGACTGATGGGTAAGTCAAGCGCTTCAGCCTCAAGATCAGTTTTAGTACATTATTAAAACAAATGGACAACTGAACTTAAAAATTATCAGCACTGCTCTTAAAATCACCCACAAGTCAAACCAATTTATCTTAAGTTGTGCGGTGTTCAGTAAACACCTTGACAACTTTAAAGCTTTTATTTTTATTTTTTTCTTTCTTGAGGTTGTAAGGGGAAAACAAAGTGAAATATTTCTCACACGTCAGCAAAACACCTGACCTGACTAAAACGGGGAGGAACAACAGTAACTATTCAGCATGAAACTGCTTTAAACAAAACAAAAAAAAAAAAAAAAAAAAAAAAAAAGAAAGGAAAGGAAACCAGAAAAATTGTTGCTACTTCTTCTACAAACAGGAAACTGCATTTGCAAACAAATTAAATACATATACAGCATCCATATACTGTGTGAAATACTGTGTTGCATATGGGGGCAAGAATAAATTAAAAATGTTTAAAAATGTAGATTAGATCAAGACTGCTGGAATTGAACCTCGACCAAATCAGACATGGATGACAATTTACCACTTGCTGTTGCCAAGGGCGGACACTTTCCCCTCCTCTCCCTCGCTCTGTTCTGTCCCATCTGTGAAACTGCTTCAGAGCCTCTCTCTACACATATTCCGAACCATACATTTTTGCTATTGGTCTGGCCAGCTGGTCTCTCAAAGCAATTGATAATATTTTCTCAACGAGAAGACAAGCTTCAGGCAAGCCGACTTTTCTCGACGAGAAGACAAGTGCCAAGGATGCACATACAATCGGATTTATGATAACTGGTGGTTTCCTGCTTTTTGGATTCGGCTAGTTCCTGGTCTATCAACAAACAAGAAAGTTGTCTGTAGCAAATTTGGCCCTGGTCAGACAGCCTGCGTCTGTCCACTTCAATTGGACGTTTGAGATTCGAGAGGACCAGCAAAGACTCAAGGCAGACATGAATCAGTAAAGTTCTGTATGTTCCCAAAACAATTGTTGCTTATCTGAATTCGGCTCCGTGGCTGGCCTTGACTGGCCACCTTATCTCAATTCGCCTGGAGGCACTGTAAATCGATGCTCTGCCCCCTCCCTTCCTTTCCCACTGAAGAAGTCTGCAGACCTATCAGAGGGACCTGGCTGAATAAACATTGTGTCGTCATTTCAGGACTCTTGGATTCTCTCTGACGCTGTTCCAGGTCGACCTCGGCACAAGAGTGTTTACGGATCTCACCAGAGGGAACTGACTGATTGTACCATTCTTATCAGAACTCTTACAGTGCCTCTGGAGTGTCCTTGACATGATCCCCGCTCGTCTCCCCCTCCTCTGCGGAATGTCTACGTCACTATGTGCGGGGTGTTTTTTCAATATTAGGGTCTTTCTCCTCAGTCAAGGGGAAAGAGTTTGATAGGAATTCTTTTTGCCTCCAAATCCTATACATGTCACTTTCATTACTTTTTGTCCGTCTAAACAAGTCTCACTTGTAAATGAGTGTTTGAGGCTCAATGTGATTTATCTGTGTAAATGAAGGTTGGTTGAATGAATGAATGAATGAATGAATGAATGAACAATCAAGTTTACTTTGTCCAACTGAGAAAGATTTCAGCCAAAATGACTGAGAACTGCTCAGAGAAAGTACAACTAAACCCACATTAGAGTTGACTAAGGACTTCAGACTTTTGATTTAAATGCAAATATAAATATAGATTTCTGATAAAATATTGTGGCACAATATTGTGAACTCTTTTGTTATTACCTTAATCCGTTTTGAATAAAAGTGGCTATATTACTTTATTATCTTTGTGTGAGTGTTAACTCGGCACATTCCTCTTTCAAAGAAAGAAAAAATACTTCCCGCTCCCTGAATATCTTTCAGACGGGAACTGCCACCACATCGATACAGTAACAGGTTAGGTCACATTGTCATGTGACTGCTGCTTTTGTCACTTGAGCTAAAAACCTTTCACAGAAACATTTGTTATGTCTTGGAGGTAAGTATATACCTGTAGTCCAGACTACTAGGTTTATACAAAGTTTAATGAAACAGCAAAACACAGATTGTGGCCAGTGACTAAGACTAAGTGGTCAAATCAAGTACTGTAATCACCAAGCTCTAGTTGATTTTGCAGGTAGCCAAAATCGCAGCAATAAAAAAAATGTCAGGTTGAGTTTCAGGGCTATTCCTGCAACATCTTTAGTATATGTGGCCCGTAAAAAAAAAAAAACATACCGCAGTTTCTCACTGGATATTAACTCTTTAGAGCATGGCAAAAGCATATTTACACTTGCAATTTTGGAAACTCATGCACACATTTTTATTTTTTGTAAAATACCAATAGATATTATTTTTTTCTTTCAATTTCAATCCTTTATCTTTTTAAATCACACGCACATGCTGAGAAAGACTTGTTGGGTTACACAACTGGCATCAATAGTTTGTTTTAAGGCTTGCTTGACCTCGACATTGAGAGATCTTCAGAAAGAGCTGATTTTATATTGAGAAATCTCTCAACCTGACTGGAATAAATATGCGTGCGAGTACTTACTCTGAACCCTCGTCTTCTCCCAGCAAGGTCACATAAGTCTTGGGGAACCAGCCCCGTTCACCGTTCAGCTCTCCCATCCACCAGTTCTCCTGCTGCTCCAGAACATGAATCACATCATCCTTATTGAAGTTCAGATGATTGTCTGTCTTTGCTGTCCAGGAACACAGGGCCTGAGCCAACAGGTTACCCACCACTGGCTGAAACAGAGAGGGCATCTCAGTGAATATTTTGGTATTAATGCCCTGTATGCTCAGACAATATTCACAGTACCATGAAATAGGGGTTGAACGACTACATATTTTAAAAAGTCGACTTCAACATGTTAAAAGTCGAGTCGACGTGACATCATAGGAACTCAAGACGCTATTCACGAAAAGACGTCATTTAGTATCTACAAAAGTAAAAACATTGGGAACGTATATTTATGCTCCTTCCATTTATCATACTGCAAATAAGTCACAGGAAAAACAAAACTATTAAGCTGCAAGAAAGTTTTATTTTATTTAATCCACTAAATAAAATAAACCACTGCAGTGGATTCTCCACCGGCAGTGGTGCGCCCATTTTTATTTTATTTAGTGGATTAAATAAAACTAAAAACAGCAGGGTGGGCGGTGGTGGGATCCATCACGGGCGGTTGAACCGGAAGAGTCATCTTTAGTGAAATACTTCCACACTGTTGATGAATTTCTACCCGTTTGGCAAGACTTGGCCTGCTCCTGGCCTTCCATCTGCTTGGAAGAATCTGTTGTGTAGCCAGCGGCACGGTGCTGATCATGTGACACAATCGCCGACCGTGACTAGTCGAAGCAAAATTTTAAAACTGGCCAGATGTCCTAGAATCGACTAGTCGACTGGTCTATTCAACCCCTACCATGGAAGAATCTAGTCTGCAGAGCTCTCACCTGTCCACGTGTTTCAGAAGGTGCAGAGTTTGGAGAGTGTGTCGGTGTGAAAGCAGACTTTGTTCCTGCTGCCTTGGCCGCTTCGAGCGCATTGCTAAGTTGAGTTTGAATTGGCATTTTAGGAGGAGCGGCAGCAGTGGGGGTATTTGTTGTGTTTGACGGGCCCACATTCTCAACATAGCTCTCTGGAAACCAGCCCATCTTCCCCTGTCTGCTACCATACAGCCATCCCTCCTCTCGCTCGGTTGTCTCATCAACCTGAAAAAGGACAACATTTCAGTGAGATTAGATGTTTTAATTTTAGAAGGGGGGAGGGGACAAGCCATTTGTATAAAGATATACCTCAATGACATCGTCTTGACTGAAGCTGAGCTCTTCATTATTTCGTGCAGTGAATGGGTAGAGTGCCTTGAAGGATGTGAGAGCAGCTGACTTCCTGTGTTGTGTGACCTTTGGCTTCCCTCCTGGAGCAGCAGATCAGAGTTATAAAATGGAAAACCAAGAAGTTCTTCTTAATCAAATCTTAATGAAAACACTGAGACGTAGAGAAAAGCTTGAATGTGTATCTCACCCTTTCTCTCCTCCAGCCCTCTCAGCAGAGACATCAGCTTCTCCTGAACATCTATCTTTCCTCCATTTGGTTGCTGCTGACGAGACGCCTCCTCCTTCCTTCTGTTCTCTAACTCGGCTTTTCGTCTCTCCTCTTCCTCCTCTTTTCTTTTCCTCTCCTCTTCTGCTTTTTTCCCCTCATCCTCACGCCTCCTCGTCTCCTCTTCCTGCTGCTGCTGAAGCCTTCTCCTGTCTTCCTCTCGCTTCTTCCTGTCATCTTCCTCTTTCTTCTTCCTCTCCTCCTCCTCTCGCTTTCTTCTCTCCTCAGAATCTCGAAGAGCTGCTTCAGCCGCCCTATGTCGTCTCCGATCTTCTTCCTCCCTTTCTCTTCTGCGCTCATTTTCTCTCCTCTCCTCTTCTAATCTCTTTCGCTCCTCCTCCAACTTCTTCATCTCCTCCTCCCTCCTGCGCCTCTCCTCTTCTTCCCTTCTTCTCCTCTCCTCCTCTTCTTTCTTTCTTCTCTCTTCTTGCTTTCTCTCATCCTCCAGTTTCTTTCTCTCTTCCTCTAGTTTCCTCCTCTCTTCTTCCAACTTTTTCCTCTCTGCCTCCTGTCTGCGTCTTTCTGCTTGCCTCTGACGCTCCTCCTCTTCTCTTTTCTTCCTCTCTTCCTCTTCCCTTCTCTTTCGCTCAGCCTCCTCCTTTGCTCTAAGCTCTCGTTCAGCTTGCTCCCTGGCAGCCTGGATGAGAGCCTGTCTCGTTTTTTCCTCCTCTTCTCTCCTCTTGGCCTCCCTTTCCTCCTGGAGCTTCCTCTGACGCTCTTCTTCTTCCCGCCTTAGCTTTTCTTGCCGCTGACGCTCCATTTCCATTTTGATACGTCTATGAGTAAAAAAAGCATTTTTTGCATTGCCTTAAAGTTTTGTACAAGATTATGAAGTTATTTTAAATAAAATGTCAATTGTACAATAAAATATAAAATACTAAACCCTACCTTTGAGCTTCCTCCTCCTCCCTCCGCCGTTTCTCCTCCTCTTGTCGTTTCCTCTCCTCCTCCTTCCTCTTTCTCTCCTCTTCCTGCTCTTTCTTTCGAATTAGCTCTCGCTGCTTTTCCTCTTTGATGATCCGCAGCTTCTCAAGGGCAGCCTGCTGCTTTCCCTGATTTTCTCTCAGCTCCTGATAAACATAAAGTACTCACACATTAATAACTAAATAAAATAAGATTGTATACAACAAGAAGAAACCGACAAAGAACTAAAAACTGTAAACAAACACCATGCACGAAAGTCTACAAGACTCACAAAGAGAGAACAACTGGAAACAAGTAAAAAAATATAGTAACTTAAAAAACAAAACAGAGAAAATAAAATAAGAGACCTAACATGATAACATTTAGCAGATAGAAGAGGTTAGAAAAGCATGCTAGCAGACCAAAGACAATCTGAAGCTTTGAGTCCTCAGCACCCTCAGACTGCAAGGTAAGCGAGACAGGATGTGGGAGTGATGAGAGGCAAGTGGTCAGGTGTAGGGAAGTCAGATGCAAAAAAAAAAGTAAAAAAAAAATAGGGAAAGTAGGTGGTGAGAAAGAATGACAGGAAGAAGGGAAACAGAAAATGAGGCCTCAAAAGTCGGGAAGTACTAGTGAATACAAAAGTATTTCTTTACTCAAGTTTTACGGGCTCTGCAGAAAGGTCATTGCTTTAATATTAGGCAAACACCATGTTCACATCTGCGAACCAGTTCTCATTTACAAGCTTGATCTGGATCTGTGTGAGCAGACCTCCCCCCAAAAAAGAAATGACCACAGAAGAACTGCACACAGTAAGAAGTTTTAAGAAGATTGACAAATCAGCCCAACATAGTAAAGAATGATTAGAATTAGGCTACTATGGCTCATGCTGCGCAGTCCACAAGGTTCCCAGCATTTCATGAAAAATAATTCCTAGAGTTTTCCTTAATCCTGAAATTCCAGGAAAAATTTCTGTCACACAAAACGCTCAGAATTTAGTTTCTTAGATGGTGGGCAGAGTCACATTCAGAGATGACAGTAAGTATGCTGAAGCCTATAGTATGTGCATAAAGCAATCGTTCCTAATAATTAATTATATTGTATAATATCAGACACTACAAAGCCACCATAGCCCATCATTAAGGATACATGTACTATGTACACTGTAGCAGCAGAACATGGACTCAGTGATACTGGAATACTAGCATTAACACATGAACACGTTAAACTCTCAGAAAGATCATCCTTTAATCAGCAGTGTTCAAATTCCTTGTTAACCCTGACTTTTCAAGTTTTCTCAAATTCCCTGAGTTTTCCCTGTCAGGAAAATGTTAGTCATTTCCAGGCTTTCCCTGTTTTCCTGAGCCACTGGGAATCCTGGTCCAGCAGAACATTTCAAAAACCTCTGAAGACGAAAAGATGTGGTTTGAGACACGATAAAGAACGTTGCAAAGAACATGACAAACACAAACCAAACACAAATTTCCACAATACATTTTGTTGTAATATCCGACAACATGCAGAGTTTGTATGATAATGATGCTTATGTAGTTTGTTTGCACCTGCATGTCTTTGTTATAGCGATCCATCTCCGTCAGTTTGGCAGAAGTTTCTCGTTCCAGAGTTTCCAGCTGCTCTCGCAGTTTCCAACAGGTTCCCATCTTCTCTGAAACATTCACCTTCAGGGCGGACATAGTCGACACTAGAAACAGATCAAATATATATAAACCTGCCTGTTGGGAAGCTCACTGACAGTTGCAGCTTTGTTTACAGAGCAATATACATATTTAAAGTCCCCCCCCCCCATACCTGCTAATTTAATATATAATTTTATTTTTATCTTTAAAAAAAACGTGGTGACATCTGTTTCATCTACAAGTGCAGATGAGATGGGGTCTATTTGCTCATCCCTCAGGACTAACCTGGCAGGTTATTCAGAGACATGTTTTGGAGTTTCTCTGTTAGTCTCTTCTTCTCTGGAGTCAGCTGGGACAACTTCCTCTGGAAGTCCTGCCCACCAGGAAATACAAAAGACATGAACGGTCGGGGGAAAATGAATAACAAATATTTTTACATTATTTATACACATGTGGGTAATGGACTGTAAACATGAAAACACAAACAAAAATAAACACACTGACCTCTATTTGTTTATGCAGAGCGTTCATATCCTGCTGGCGTGTCTCTTTCCTCTGATTGTTCAGATCCAGTTCCGTCTTCTGAATTTTCTTCTTGTTCTGAATGCCGCGCAGCCGATCAGAAATCTGTTGGTGTTTGTTACCCTGAATAGAAAATAAAACCGATAATATATTGTACAACAGAGGAGCAGAAAAAGTCCACTTAAGCTTCATCTCTGCGGGCATCGTCAAAAATAAAATGTGTTTTCTGCAAACATTACACGGGAGCAAAAACTAAATAAATCTCTTAGGGGCTTACCACTGCTTCCAGCTCCATCTCAAGACTTCTCTTCTTTGCCTTTAGTTTAATAATCTCATCTTGCTCCTGCTCCTTCTTTATCTGCAGCTCTCCTCGTTTCCTCCTCTCATATTCCTCCTTCCTCTGGCGCTCGAGCTCCCGCTGTGCAGCCTAGAATTAGAGGAAAACATTGAGGTAAAAACATGCCCGTCTATGTGAAATGGAAACACTGCACAAGTACGAGAACTAAACACACAACTCATTCATACAGCAGTACCTCTCTTCTCTCGATCTCTCTCTGTCTCTCCTCCTCTTTCTGTCTCTCCAGTTCCCTCTGTCGCTCCAGCCTCTGCTCCTCCTCTTTCCTCCTCCTCTCCTCAGCCTCTCGAGCCTCCCTCTCCTTCCTTTCTTGCTCCTCCTTTTCCTTCTGAGCACGCCGCTCAAGCTCCCTCCTCTCTGCCTCCAGCAGAGCCTGACGTCTCTTCTCCAGCTCGGCGTTCCCATGCTCCATGTTGGCTTTGAACTTATCTTCAAAGGACACTGGAAGTAGGAGGAAAAGGTGGTCTATGATTCACTTTTCATATATACCTTGTTGGTCCTTTGAAATAAGTTGATTACTTTTATGAGCTTTTGAAAAAGATGTTCAAAGATATAAAGAACAAGAACCTAAATAACAATTATTATTTGCAAGTAGCAGTTTACCGACATATTAACACGAAACTGTAAGGAGATTTAATATATTTAGCTGTGAATCGCTTTCTTGCTGCCTGGTGTTTTGTCACAAAATTTGTTTGGATGCAGTTATATTTTCACTTGGCAGTGTGTGCAATTATAAACTCAACTGACTCCTGCACAGCTTTAGTATATAGGAGACTAGTTGTGTACAAGGCCACTCTCTTAGTGGACCATTGGTTATGAGAGTACTGACTGTTAGTTTTGGCTTTCTGTGGAGGCTCCATGTCCAGGTCATCGATCATAGCTGAATAGAAGGAAGAGCTGGAGCCATTCACTGCACTCCTGTAATAAAAGATTTAGAATAAACTATGAAACATACAAATCATAAAAATACCATACACACACAGTATGTAAATCTTGTGCATACTTAACGTGTATAATCACTGCAGAAATTTCTATCAAGCATTTGAATCTAAAAGGTGTTTTTACCTATGTGTGGGTGGTACCAACTCAGGAGGCAGTGTCAGAGACAACGGTTGTCCATTCTTCGCCAAATCCACCAAATGCATCGCCAGAATAAACTCCTCAGCTTTTAGCTTGCCATCCTTATCAACATCTGACAAATTCCTGCAGAAGTTAAGGTTACAAGTCAAAAATTCAAGGTTTTTTTATAACCACACACTGAAGTATTTGCTGTTTGACCTTGAAGGCTGTGAAATTACAACCTATCTTTTCCATTTAATTTATGTTACAACTATTGTATGTATTTGCACTTGTCCAAACTAAAAACTAAGGAAAATGGGAAAATATAGCTCATGCATCTGCATTCAGAATGAACAAATATTTATATATGGTAAACATGTATGTTGCATTTAGCTAAAACCACATAAAACATTTTAAACTAATTCAATTTAGTGCTCACAAAAGTAGAATGTATAACATCAATAAACTGAAGGGCTTTAAAATCCTATGGCGTTCCCATATACACAGAGAAAATACATTTGTTGAAGATTTATAATTAGAGCACCTTCTTAAAACAAACTTATTGGTAATTTACAATATTTTCTCACCAGATGGAGGCCAGCTGAGTCTGTGTTAGCATTGTGGTTGCCATGGCGTTTCTCACCTGCTGACCTGGAAATATGAATGACGAGTGTCAGAGTGGTTGTGTGGCTCTGATGTGTGGGAGATGAAAGGAAGGAGGGTAAAGTGAGACTGTGAGGTCTGATTTAAACAAGGGACCACAGCAGTTTGTGTATAATCTTGTTAAGCACGACCGACAGGGTGTGTCAGTAAAATGATGATGAAATAAAACATACTGTTCAATTAACTGTTCAAACAGATAATTCAGGATTAGAAATTAGGGTTAAAGAACAGAGTGTTGTAGTTTGAATTGGAACTTAAATTAAAACAAGCCACTTGTGTAATTTACATAATGGGCTGTGCCACTAGACAGGAAATCATGTACAAGCCTGACTGGAGTGACTGGGTGAGAGAGCATGAGAGAGGTATTGTCATTTCAGTAAATCCCAAGGTTTTTGAGAGAACAGGTCCGACAAGTCTTTTCTAACAAAAAAAGTTGAATGCACATGTGTCTGTGTGTGTGTTGAGAAAGCTCCATTGTCAGAACACACCCATAAAACACAACCACTACCACTTCCTTCGAGGTGACTAAAACCTGACAAAAAGTAGAAATTACAACAAAAAAAAAAAATCAACTGTTATGAAATCAACAGTGACTGATGCTTAAAAACATCCACAGCTTCAGTTCTGCACAGTGCTGTTTTGTGTAACACTGTCCATATATGCACACAATGTATGATGTACCTGTGAGGAATCCAGTCATCTGTTTATCAAGGATGTTGAACTGCTGCCTGTATTTCAGTCTTGAGGCATGTGGCACCGCCCAATCACTGGGAACAGCATTCATAGGGGACATGACAGACACAGATGATGGAGCAGAACTGAAAGTCAGAACACGGGTAACACCACTGTTAGGAGGCTACATACTTTAAGAGGTCGATAAGATGATCAAGGTAGTGACTGAACAAGGTGAAAGTTCTTCCTTATTTTTAAGTTCTATATTTGAGTGTTTTACCTGCCAAGATCCAGCAGTGGTGAGGCACTGTTCATAGCTGCAGGAGAAGCAGAGTGTCCAGCTGGAGAGGAGTAAGAGGTTGCAGAAAGAGGCAGGCCTAAAAGTGAACATAAACATTCGCAATGTGAATCGAAACACCTCTTGAATATATCAGGCAACAACTATAAAAACAGAGTGAGAGACCACTGGTTGTTTCAGGGTGGCACTGGCTGGATGTACTGGTATGTTGTAAAGGACGTGTGCTCAAGATGAGTTCTGTGATGGAGTTAAATTCCAAGCAGTCTGCTCCTCAGCCAAAAGAGTTAAATTATTATTTTTACGAAAGTTTTTGTTAACTTGTTGTTTTTATATATGAATGTTTCTGTTCAGTGCCCTGAGATGACTTCTGTTGCGACTTGGCGTCATATAAATAAACTGAATTGAAACTGAATTAAAGAACGGTAAATAAGGGACCTGGTTGATTATGCATGTATAAATAATATGTCTCATGAAATTTAAAAGAATCTACAAAAGCAGTGAGAAAATGGGGTGGGGAGAAATTTGGTTAGAAGTTACTACAAAGCAGCAACCCTAAATACAGATAATACAAAACATCAGCCGCTCAGCAACCTTTATCAGAAAATGAAACCGATTAACTGTAGAAACCCAACTCCCTATAATTTCAACTTTGTGACCCTCTGAAGGACACAAATCTATCTGGACAATGCAGCACTTAATTTTCTTTTTATGACTGAAGTGTATATGTAAATAAATAAATAAATAAAAATACAGACAAGAGCAATTGTCCATTTTAATAAATACTTGTTTACAAAAATGTTCATTCATGTGACATTTAGTCAACTAAGCAAAAAGTTAGTACAACCTGCAGTAGTTAAGAAAATTCAGAATGAAAAAGAATTGTAATTGTGGGAAGACAAATCTGATTTTGATCTAATTTAATAAAAAATAGCTCTGAAGAATCCTCTCAAAAGGGGTTACATTTTATGAAGCACTTGTATTTGTTTAATTTTACAGAAATTTTAAGAGTAACAGGGTACTTACCAGTAGTCATAGGTCCAGCAGGGACTGGTTGAAGGAATCCCATGGTACCATTTGACAGTGCATTGTTTCCCACAGTGGGCATCATGGGCCTGGTAGAGGCCGAGGTCATCAATGGGTTTATCCCTGTCGTTGCAGGAGCATAGGGGGTGAAGCCTGTCATTGGTGATAAAGGTGAGAGGCCAGGAGATGCCACAGACATAGAAGTCAACATGGCAAGATTGGATCCAGGCATCATAGGCAGGGAGCCAATGCCTACAAGAAATACACACAAGTTTAGAAGAAACATAAATTAATTTTACATACAAAAAACATTCATAAACACAATGACTGAAACTTACAAGTTATTGGTTGTTTAAAATCCCAATGTGTGTCTTTTTGTATTACATTTAAATTCTTTGATATTTTATATTTCTTGCGTTTAAAGTGTAAAAAAAAGTGAGGAAAAAAAGTTTAGAAACTTTGCTACAGCCATATACACAGTTTAATAACAACAAAAACACTGTACCATAGTTAGGGCTCGACATGACTGAGGTGGGAGTATTAAGGTTGGGAGCAGGTACTGGAGGCTGTTTCATGATGATTGGTAGCGCAGAGGGAAGTGCTGTACCCTGAAGTTTAAGCTTTATGAGCTTCATCGCGATGGAAAACTCCAACCTATCCATCTTTCCATCCATATTCATGTCAGCCAAAGTCCTTTGAGACAGAAAAAAAGACCATGAATAAGAAAATAGTGTAAAATATGGTGCTTCAAAACAGCTTTGAAAATATCCTGGACTCCCAACAATAACAAATGTGACAATGTTTGAGTAAAATGTTGTGTTTTGTACCAGATCTCAGCCAACACAGAGGCAGGCAGCCCTGACTGGAGGAAAAACTTCCTTGCCTGATCTCCTGCAGAATGAAAGAAAGAAAAAAAACAAAAACAAATTAAACTGTGTTCTTGCAAAAATAGTTGTCTTGTTTATTAATAAATGGATAAAACTCATCTTTCTTTTTCTTGTACCTGAGATGTAGCCCATTGATGGGGAAAGGGTGTCAAACTTCTGATCATGTTTTACCCTCTCTTCAGGAGAGATTGCCCATACAGATGGACCTATAGATGTAAAAAAACAGGATACATATTAAATTGATACTGCAATTTAGTGTCTAATTAGATACTCATTTATTTATTTATTAACCTTTATTTAACCAGGCAAATCCCACTGAGATCACAGATCTCCTTTGAAAGGGAGGCCTGGGCCTGAAGGCAGCCTAACATGCATGTTTTTGGTCTGTGGGAGGAAACCAGAGTACCCAAAGAAAACCCACGCATGCACGGAGAGAACATGCAAACACCACACAGAAAGACCCCAGGTCCAACTGGGGATTGAACCCAGGAGCTTCATATGAATATTGTTGCTAGCAATGCCATCTTGATCTCATCCAGCAATTATTTAGACAGAAAGACCCTTCAGCTCCTCACTATCCACTGAACACAGAAAAACAAACTGACTTTAGCCCAGAGCTGCTGCTGCCCAACATCAAACTATTTTTTTAATTTTATTGTTCTAATCTTTACCAGAGCTCCAGACCACAACAATGTTGTCGGTGTTTCAACCACTTCAGAAACAGAAGAGCACAGGTGCAACTTTTTTCATTTTCTTTTCTCTCTTTCGTCATTGGAACTCCACGAACAAGTAAGAATCTGTGCGTCTTGTGTGAAATATAATCAAGAGTTGCTGCAACTTTGTAACAACAGAAATAATTTTACCTTGGCTCTGACATAGTCTGTTGACTCATCCACTAACTTCAAATGTGATAGTTATCAAAAACCTCACCGTGACTCAAAACTGTCCAGAACAGCTGCGGTGATGAACTGCAGCATCTGTCAGCAACATTTTAACAGCAGAACTAAACTAATCAGTCTAAACAGACTCATTGGTTGGTCGTTGAGAATCAGATCTTGGTTGTCCTGGTGGATATTTACATAAATTTGGGTGGGTTTACCTCCAAATGCACGTATAACGCCTCATTAAAATGTGGGCAAACTAAACCAGCACATAGAGAAATAGTTTTGTTAAATGGCAAAGTTTTAGGTGCAGGGCTTTTTAAATGAGACAAATACTCAAAATAAAAAACTCAATGTGCAAACCATTGATAAATCTGGGTCAGAAAGCATTTGAAACTATAAAAGCATAATATTAAAACATTAAATGGAAAAATCTAAGACCTAAAGGCAAACAGGAAGACAAATCCCTGCAGGATAGTAACAGATAGGCCAGCCTCAGCAGCAGTCAGGAGTTGGGAATGCACTGGTGTATTGACAAAGTGATAATGAAGCTTGATGTTAGAGGGCAGAACAAGCTCACACATTTGATTAAGGTTTACACACAAAAGACTTTCTACACAAGTGTTACTATATGGTCCTGTACATCAGACAACATTTAAATCATAATAAAATTATGAAGTATTTGTATCTTTAGCCCTGTAACCAAAACTATAAAGAAAACTGGAATCAAAATAGCTACTACTAGAAGAACTGAAACTGTGTTGACCTCAGCACATCTACAGACCCTCAAAAATAGATTAAAAAAATAAAACAAACAAAATCTCTTTCCTCTTCCAATGAACACATTCACTCAATGACTCACACACACAAACTGCAGAGCTCTTACCATTCATGTCTGTACTTGGAGAACTCCCAGCGGTGTCCTCAGCTTTTGCTCACAGCCATCTGCAAAACACAAAGTCACAATCCAGCCATCAGTCAATACTGCAGCTGAGTCCTGGTGGTGTCACGAGGGAGGGTGAGGAAAAGGCGGAGAGGCACACACACACACACACAGAGGCAGAGCGGAGAGACCATTCTGATCAGTCAGCAGTCTGAAACAGAGCTTCTCCAGTTCCCTTTACTCAGGAGAAGTCTGGCTGTGTACCATACCTTTCAAACTAATAAGTACTAAAACCTTTCTGCTCTAATGACTCTGTAAAGGCCAGACAGCAGAGTTATACCAAGCAACCAAAAATAACAAGAAAAAGGTTTAGCATTTTCTGTACTTTTTTTTTCTCAATGTATTAAAGAATTACTACTCGAGTGACTTGCAATAGAAATGTTCACCTAATACTTAACTTCAAAGACAAAAAATGTTACTTCAGACCTCAAAGAAAAACACATTCATGTGGTCCTAATAGATAATAGTTAAAGTTGTTTTTTTATCCATGGTTGTCTTCAACAGCATACCAGCAAGTTTACATTATCACTGTAAGCAGCAGTGATGCTGGTGGAGCTGAAGATTTGTTAAATAATGACTGAAATGGCCATGAAGCTTGTGGTCGGTCATAACATGTTCTAGACTGCACAAATTAAATGAACCATTCATGGGACCCTTGTTGACAAAGGACCAATTCATTGTAATATACTGGGTTTGCCCAGGCGTTTAGGTCTCATTGGTGACTGAAGTAGTATTCTGTTTGGCTGAAATGCACTCCAAAACTTTTTCATTTACAGTACATTTCAAATGCTTTTAGCAGTGGGATAAAGAGAGGTAATCTTTATTGGTGGATAACAAAAAAAAAAAAAACCCTCAAAAACTTGGGACTGAAGTATATGCATGAAAAGTGGAAAATGAATGTAACATACATAGAACTAGAAACTACGGTTCACACTAGGGACACAGAATATTAATTTTTGTCACTTTTGTGTTGATTTAATTTTAGATGCATGCTAAACATGTGCTTCATCAGAGATTATCTGTCAGCCATCAGCCAGTCAGACTCTTGTGATAAAGGAGGAGGAGAAAAGGAAGAGGAATTCCAATCCTTCTTTTCAATACGTCCTGCCTGGTACCACACAGACAGCACAAATTTATCAAACGTTTGTTGCAAAAGAGATCCCAGGTTTTAGGAGAGAAAACACTTTGCTGTCCCAGGAAATGCATATTGGTTTTGGTGCTACAACTGGCTTTGGGACAGTACAGTAGGTTTATACTGATGAGTACATCTACTACAAAAACCACTGAGCTCTTCAGAGTTTGTGTAGAAGAAAATTAACAAAATAAAAAGTGGAGACTTTGACCTGGTCACGGCTCTCACAAGTTCAGATAACTGAAAGGGAGAGCCAGTTCATCACCTGCCATCTGTCACATTTTATCTCTCGCTTCTCATCCTTCCTTTCTCCGAAGTATATCTTTCCCTTCTCCTATTCCCATCTTTAATCCTGCACTTTTCCCTTTTACACATTTATGGGTTCAAGAGAAAGCCTATCATCAAAGTCTTACACAAAATAGAGGCCAATCAGAACTGAATATCTCAGAATATAAAACTAAACTAAACAATACTAATATTTCAAAATTACATACGTTTTAATTTGGAAAGTATTAATTTTGCATGTACTGAACATAAAAGTATTTTAGAAAGGATCAACATTTAACTATCATGAAATAAAAATCAAATTACAAAGTTAAAGCACTTAAGATGAAGTGTCATATGTAGCTGTTCCCTTTGTTTCACCATATTTTTCTACCATCGTTTACAACATTTGTTTGACATATGTATTGCCACTGTTGGGACACTAGAAATGCTTAAGTCAAAGCTGAAAATATGATCCCTTGGAGTTTGTTCTGCTTAGATCCAGTCAGCTTTTGTAAAATTAGATGGAGTAAAACAGGCAGCACATTTTCTGAAAGTTTGAGGAGTCTCAAAAGCTTTTAAATCTGTGTTTGTTCTGTGAACAGTGTACATGTACAGACCACCTGGAAGAGGACATTAGAGGTTCTGCTTCAAACGAGATAGGACAATACAATCTGTATGCGGTCTCTGGCCCTCACTGTACCATAAAATCTGTAAAATGGTGTTTTCAGGTTACAAACAGAAGAATAAATCTTTTACAAAAGGACTGAGAACAGAGCCTTAACTTCTACATGAAGAGATCTTTAAATCCAAAGAGTTTGAAAACGAGGCAAAAACCACAATGTACCTGAGCATGCATCAGGATACCTGACAGGCTGTTGCTTACATTGTTTTGAAGCAAAAGTGAGAAGACATAACTACACATTGAAACAATAAAACTTTAAAAATCAATATATGTCTCATAGAGTAGACTAATGAATTGAAGCAGATTTCCTGGAGCTAATGAAAAATGGAAAACATACAGCACTTCCAAAGAAAATCTGTTTTATTACTGGTAGTTGCCTTTATACTTTGACCTCTTAACTAATTCTGAGTTTAGCACAGATGTTACATACTGACATTTTAAGTCTTTCAGTAAAGTCTGCGTTTTACTTCTTTAACTTGATCGGGTGAGACAAACAGAAAATCAGATGTTAGAATGCCTGATTATCATCAAGTCACTGATCTAGCTGATAACTGCCTGATGAAAAACTGTTGCAAACCCTTAACTGAAGGTTCAACCTGATATCTCTTGGGTCATAGAGAACAAATCAACTTGGTAAGCACATCCTGTAAGAAGAGTCACAATCTTATTATTAATACGCCCAATGAATACTATGATGGTGGACATTTATTTAAAAACAATCTTATTTTTGCAGCTACTTGTGGCCCTCAAATCATGCAGGAATTACCAACTGGATATTCTGCCTCTTGTGCACTCAACACAGACATCTTTGGCTAAGTACACAATTAAACAAGTACCTCTAATCCAGACTAACCATAGTGCATGTTCAACAAAGTCCATGCTCAATAATCCAGGTCAATAATAACAACAATAATAATCAATAATCCCAACAATTCAACAATTTTCAGTCAAGTCATCTGGACAGTTTTGGGTTTTTTTTTTTTGGTGCTGAAACTTTTCACCTTCCATCCAGAAGGCTTCATCAGTCAAGGAAACACACAACACAAAACTGATTCTTCCCCCAACAGCTTACTTCAAAGTGGAACAAATCAGTTATGTTGTGCTAAGATGGTCTCTTTGGCACGTCCCCTCCTCTGGTGCCGGCCCTCTCCCTCGTCAAGTCATGTCAAAATGTCCAGATGACCTGACTGAAAATTGTTGGATTGTATACCTGGATTATTGAGCATGGACTTTGTTGGTTTTGAACCCGTTTGACACGACTGTCGACAAGGGAGAGGGCCGGCAACGGAGGAGGGGCCGTGCCAAAGAGACCATCTTAGCACAACATAACTGAATTGTTCCACTTTGAAGTAAGCCGTTGGGGGAAGAATCAGTTTTGTGTTGTGTGTTTCCTTGACTGATGAAGCCTTCTGGATGGAAGGTGAAAAGTTTCAGCACCAAAAAAAAAAAAACCCAAAACTGTCCAGATGACTTGACTGAAAATTGTTGAATAGTGCATGTTGATCAGTCTTAAGCCCAAAGGTTAAACATCCGTCTGAGCCGGTATTGTTTAGGAATGTAACCTTCAGTAATGCTACACTGCAGGAATTTTAATGAATTAATGAAAGATAGTAGCAGACTGTCTGCTTTAAGGTTTGGGGTTTCCAGAGTACTGTTCCTGACAGGACATCCTCCTGACCCACTGAATGAGTGACTTTACTGGTAGTCAGCTTTGCAAACCTCATGCAAATGCCTTCTGAAACTATCCTGCACACACATACTCCTACATGAGCACACACATACTCCTACGTGAGCACACACATACTCCTACGTGAGCACACACATACCTACGTGAACACACACAGTGTCAGTAGAGGCCTCAAGCTGCTGATAGATGACAACAAACACTTCATTTGCATTGTTGTAAACCCACTGTAAATGGAACCAATGGTCGACCTCTGGAGGCTCCACCTTACATCAAAATGCATGTGGTCTGTATTTCACCAGTGATGCAGAACTTTATAAAAACAATGTTTAATAAAAAGTGAAAACTGAAAAAAGAGCTACACGTACTGCAATATATTTACAGCTAATTCTAATTTATCTCATTACTATTGCCGTGGTTGAGCTCATAAATAGGAATATGAATCATGCTGGCCCACAACTTGCCACTTATGAAACTTTGTTCACAAATACATATGGAGAAGCACTCTAGTCTACAGGATATTTATATGCAAAATGCAGGTGAACAAGACTTAATGGTAAACTTCACCTGCAAAGATTAAAGGTCAAAACTGATTGTTTTATTATTAACCTTAGAGATGGCAAACATAAAAGTTTCTCTATAATTAATCATTTGTTTTCAATGTGATGCTTACAAAAGTATTTATTTATTGGAAAGGATCAGTTATTGTGACCTTTTAGGAGAAAATATAAACTGCTCTATATGAGGCCTATCAGAAAAGTGCCCAAGACAAAAAAAACAAGTTTAACTGCTGGTGACACTGTGCAACTTTGATTTATAATTTCCAAAAGGGAAAAGACAAAATCAAAACACAATGAACTATTTTTAAAGGTCAGCTCAAACCACTTCCTGTTGAAACTACAGTGGCCTGGACAGTGGCTGTAAAATGACCACTTCCTCTGAGTGTGTTCTCTTTCTTCACTTCAGATCTACTTCGATGATCAAACCTCACCAGTTTCAGTTCTATTTTGAGCCACGTTGACAGACTGAGACGCTTCAGTCTTGCAGTTGGTTTAAACACACAACACAGGAAAGCGTTGGATAAATAAATTGTCTGGTCCTGACCAAGCTACTCCAGTGAAAGATTACACTTTAACTGGGGTGCATCCATCTGTCGGTTTATTCTTTGTTAGGTTTGATTAACGTTTCACACTGTAGTTTTCCTAGTCCACTACAAAGCAGCAACTTTTATGAAAAGAAAAAAATACAAACAGGAAGGGGAAAATGTATTTGCTCTTCATGCCTTCACTTCATTCCACCACTTGTTTTTCTCTAATTGAATATGACTTACCGAGAGCCAGCGATGCCTCCCTCCCATGTCCTCATCACTACTCTGTTCATAAACAAGCCCCGTCTGTCAGTGCTGTTCTAAGAAATGACTGATATTCATCCGCCTCTCACACTGAGCTCCCAACAATGACATCAACTCCAACCACAACTCTGCCCCTGCATGATTACTCCTTCTTCCCTTCTAAATGTGTCTTCTTCGCTACTTCATTCCTGTTCAACAGATAATCCACTGCACAGCCACTTGTTCTTAAACATCCAAAACCCCTGTAGTGTTTGAAGAGCCTGATTAGAGCATTTCAGTGAGGATTTGATCCATCCTGTCTGAAGTGCTGAGTTTATTTGCTTTATGCAAGAGGTAAGACATGCCTCTCACTCCTTTGCAGCATTGACCCACCCTGATTTGCACATATTACATTACACACTGGAGACTAGAAAATGTACTAGTTCACTGAATGTTATTAACAGGCTCATTACAGCTGTTCTCCTAGTATATTTTTTTCTCTTCTTCTTTCAGCTGCTCCCTTCTCCAGGGCTCGCCGCAGTGAACTAACTCGCACGAAGACTAGACAATTGTTATTACGCCGGATGCCCTTCCTGACGCAACCATAGACCACTGAGCTACCACGGCCCTCTGTGTGGAGCAGAAAACTGCTATCTAGGGTGCACGGGAGAGCAAATGGTGGGGGTTAAGGAATGAGGTAGGTGTGAGAGGGTGGAGGCAGATGTGAAGCTGTTCTGCGAGTATAGTATAATGTAGAAGACCCAATAGCATCATCTGAGCTGGTTCTTTTAAACTGAGGTTGGAGGAAGTCTGAATCAGTGAAAATGTGGGGCCACCATGCAGCATCATATGTCAAAACTGTACGCTAAATATTTTCTGAGTAGCGTCTGTATGCATTTGCATTGTGCATGGTTCACCTGCAAAAATGTTGAGGGGGTGTTGAATGCTGAAAACAATACAAACATATAAATACCAGCAGCTTAATACACCGTTACTCTTCACTTGCCTTTGGATTTACAGTTGTGGAAAATAGTATATTTTCCCCTAGAAAATAACAACACCTGACATCAGATAAAAAAAAAATATATATATCAATATACTTATTTGTATAAAAATAGCTTTTTATAACCCATATGAACTGTAGAACACACATGCCAAACTAAAAGGTCTATGGGCCAAATATGGCCTGTGTTAACATTTGATCTGGCCCCAAAGATAATATTTTAAATGTATCAGATCTGTGGCAGCATGGTGGCGCAATTGGTAGAGCTGCTGCCTCTCAGCGAGCAGGTCCTTGGTTCAAACCCTGGTCCAGGGGCCTTTCTGGGTGGAGTTTGCATGTTCTCTCCGTGTGTGCGTGGGTTTTCTCCGGGTACTCCGGTTTCCTCCCACAAACCAAAAACATGCATGTTAGGCTGATTGGTAACTCTAAATTGTCCCTAGGTGTGAAAGAGAAAGTGAATGGTTGTTTGTCTCGTTTGTCTCCATGTGTCCCTGTGATGGACTTGCGACCCTTCCAGGGTGTACCCCGCCCCTCGCACAGTGATTGCTGGACATGCGCACCAGTGACCCCCGTGATCCAAAATGGAATAAGCGGGTAAAGATAATGGATGGATGGATGGATGTATCAGATCTGGCCCACCAATCTGTGACAGAATGAGTCTCTATCGTTTCTCATTTTGCTTACAAACTGAGCTTGAATAGATTTCCCATGACAGTCAACCTTAAAGCCAAGAAAAAATGTTAAGACCAGAGAACGCCAAATAAGACCGTTGAAATTCTTGACAAACTTGCATCAGAGTCTGCTTTTTTCTGTATTCTCTTCTTACTTTAAAGTCAAATGTTCAGATATTTTGGTGAGGGTGTTTACTGATTTGATGGATTGTGAGAAAATATATGATTAATAAATATAAAATTCAAAAGGTTCTTGATAGTATTATGGCATAACAAATGAACGGCAATGGGTCTATATTTTATGAATTTTTTTTATTGAATGAGATTGGCGCTTGGCTAGGACCAAGTTTTGAATTTTGGCTCCCATGTGTAACTGAGGTTGATACCACTATCCTCACTGGAAGTTTGTCATTGTAATAATAAAAAAAAAATCAGCAAGTTTCAACTTGAGAATTTGACCATAAATCTCACTAAATCCTTTGTGTAGGTTTAGTTGAAGATGCTCACCTAATGTTGGCGTTTATTGTTTCACGTTTGACACACACAAATGAACAAATCAGCTCAAAGTTGCACTGTCACCCGGCCTGTGTAAATGTTTTTATGCAGACTGTCCTCCAGCTCCCATGTTTCTGTAGATGAACTGATAGAGTTACATTCCCTGATCACTTGTCACAGAGACCTGCCTGCAACCTGTTTAACTAGTTTCAACCGAGAGGAATTTAGGAAACTTTCGGGCAAATCCGCCTTTGCAAACTTTACAGCAAACGTCTAACTATCTAGAAAAGCCCATTATTAAACCAAATGTTAATCTTAGATGTCCGTAAACGCAACACTTCGTGACAACAGAACTGTGCTAGCTAACCGAACTACGGTCCCAGCTTTTGTTTTTTTTAAGCGGAAGACACTTTTTCCATTCTCTCACACTCCGGAATCAAAGACAAACTAACATGTCAACAACAATCATGCCACAAAGCACGCGTAAAGTACAAAAGTTAATGTCCAGAAGCTTTACGGTGTCGACATCAAAACTTACGCTCGTGCTTAGATAAGCGGTTTTTGCTTGCGTACTTCACACGGGTCCCCCCAAAACTAAAAACTTCCGAGAAAGAAACGATCATCCACGACCTTCTGTACGGTTTCACACTCACGCCGTCGGCTTCAGTCTCCACGGAGAGTTGAAGTTAAGGGAGAAATGTTGAGTTGAACAACCTGTTGCTGTCAGCTCGGTGTGTCACAGCAACAACATGGCTGACGATCACCGGAGGAGGCTCACGGGCCTGTTAACGTCCGACCGGCCGCAGTGGGCGGAGTCACGGAGGGAGGGACAAAAGATGTCAGGACAGCCAGGTGAGACACTAACCTGAACACCTTAAATTACAACTGAAGCTCAGTCACTGCCTCTTACAGGTCAAAGAGCCCCAAAAAGTTAGGGCCCTACATTTCACCTGAGACTAACTAACTAACCAACTAACTAACTGAATGAATGAATGGTGTCCACTATAAAGAATTCCATTAAGATGAAAGTCCATTACAAATTAATATAAAAATGCAATAATATGTACAACGAATATGAAATAATATGACACAACAATATGAGAACAATATAACAATATGCATAAAAAGTTGAACTGTAACTTTCTTCATAGCTGCACAAAATGACAAAAGAAAACATGCAAAAAAGTCTTGAGAAAAGTACAAACTAAACCAAATGATTATAAGAATAATAGCCTCAACTCAGTAAGGTTTTCATACCCAACATTGTAAAGTTTGAAATTGTGTGAAATTTGTTATTAGTTATTACAAATAAAGAGAAACAAAAAAGACACAATCATATTTGCAGACTTTATTACCTGTTATGTCTTCTAACAAATTTATTTATTTATTTTTCTTCTAACAAATTTAAATCTGGATTTCGAAAACAAAGCTGCTCACACAAAGTGAGTGCGTTTCACATATTGTGAACCTAGATAATTAAAAAAACGTGCTAGACCTAATGCAGACCATTTATATATTTGCGCAAACTGATCAGTCCCAAGAAAGACCAACCTTTATGTTGTGCTGAATATCAGAGTCAGAGTCAGAGTCAGAGTTTCTTTATTGTCATTCGCACCTCATGTGGTACATGTGGTGGAGCGAAATTATGTACACAGGGTCCCAGTTACATCCAACAATAAAATGTATAAGAAAAACAGTAATAACATCTAAGATATGAACTAAGAAAAACATCAACTAAATATACACTAAGCACTCATAACATAAAACATTGAACATCAGCACAAACTACTCGAACTCAAACTACACAAACTCGAATATGTTTAACTCATTGCAAATATTTAGTTTGAATACAATTTCCAAACTTCTATTCTGTATTTTCACAGCAAATCTGCAAAATGGCCAGAAAATCCATCACAAAATGTCGAAATTTGAGTCTAGAAAAGTCTGGATATTGAGAAATGTGTGGGAACCCAGTTTCAGATAAAACTGTAAAAGCTCATGCACAAGAACAAAAAATAACTTTGATATAAACAACAAGATAAACACAAGAGTGTTTATCTGTATAAATGATATATGAGATCAATGAACTGATATATATCAATGAAATGATGTACATATAAATCACTGGAAAAAAATAAACAGAACAAACAAGACAAAAATGTTGTGTTGTCAGAGACAATTTAGAGAGATTTAGAGACAAATTAACAAAAAATTTTTAATTAATAAAAAAATTTCTAAAATAAATCTTGTTCCCAGGCAAAAAAAAGCAACTGTTAAAGTCAGTCTAATAATTTTAAAGGACAAACACGTTTTTACGACATTACCCATGATGCTTTGCGGCTGCTTAGCGACGTTTTCCATCATTTTCTGATCTAACGTACAGAAGTTTGTTTCTACTTTTTAATCCTTCTCGGTAAGTGGCGTAAAATGTTTAACAAGAGGCCTCGGAAAAACTTTCGTCAGAGAAAAAAGAGCTCCAGCGACGATGAGGACAAAGAGACGAACAGCGGAGAAGGAGACGAGAACCAGAAAGCTCCGGCCGCGACAAACAAGCCTCCTAAAGCGACGCAGGGCCGCGGAATCTCCTGCTGCTCCAAGCGGGAGGCGACGCCTCCGCAGCCGGACAGCAGCGACGGAGAAGACGGCGGAAAGACGCTGGAAGTGACAGAAGAAAGAAGAGAGGAGGACATTGGGACAAGAAAAGCAACCAACTCTGTCCTTAGTTTTTCAGACGACAAAGAAGGTAGTAAACATGGGACTTCAAAGTAAATATTTTTTGTTTAGTTATGATTTTAACATTTTGTGTATTAGCTGGTCAAAGGACGTTTTTGTTTTTTTTAGATCTGGAAATAAACAAAAATTCATTCCCATGGAAAACCTACAATCCGCAGAGGGTAATATTTGCATGTTTTTGCTGTTACAGTTGAAAAATCATTTGAGCTGAAAAGGTCTTCTGATAAAGCCGTGCTGTTTCAAGTCAGGAAGAAAGAGGCTCCATCTGCTAAGACCAGCAAAGGTTGGTTCATCAGGTCTAATTAAACCGTTTCACCTGGTTTTATGTATTAAGGTCCCACACTAATATTTAGTTGAACCACCTTTAGCTTTGATTACAGCATGCATTCACTGTTGCATTGTTTCAATAAGCTTCTGCAATGTCACAAGATCTATTTCCATCCAGTGTTGCATTAATTTTTCACAAGATCTTGCATTGATGACTAGACACTAGGCATGATGGGTGCATCACTTCACCTGCCTCTCTTCTTACCCTGATGCACCCATCACTCTGGAACAGGGTGAATCTGGACTCATCAGACCACATGACCTTCTTCCATTGCTCCAGAGTCCAATCTTTATGCTCTCTAATAAACTGAAGCCTTTTTTTCCCAGTTAGCCTCATTGATTAGTGGTTTTCTTAAGGCTACACAGCTGATCAGCCCAAATCCCTTCTGTTCATTTCGCATTGTGCGTGTGGAAATGCTCTTATTTTCACTTTTAAACATAGCCCTGAGTGCTACTGTTGTTTTTCTTCGATTTGATTTCACCAAACGTTTAAGTGATCTCCGATCACGATCATTCAGGATTTTTTTACGGCCACATTTCTTCCTCAAAGACAATGGGTCTCCACTATATTTCCAGTTTTTAATAATGTGTTGGACAGTTTTTAACCCAATTTTAGTAGCTTCTGCAATCTCCTTAGATGTTTTCTCTGCTTGATGCCAGTGATTTGACCCTTCTCAAACAGACTGACATCTTTTCCACGACCACACGATGAGTCTTTCGACATGGTTGTTTAAGAAACGAGAAGCAACTCATTGCACCAGTTGGGATTAAATAACTTGTTGCCAGCTGAAAGAAAATCGTCCATGCAGTAATTATCCAATAGGAGGCTCACACCTGTTTGCTTAGTTAAATCCAGGTGGCAACTTTTTTTTTTTTGGCCAGGCAGTATACAACAAAAATATGACAACCATTGATATTGATGACAACAACTTCTGTGTGACATCTTTGCTCTCTTCCAACCTCAGGTGGTGTTAGTATCTCATCATCCAGTTCTCCAAGACATATTATTGAAGCATCACCACATTCATTACATAATGATAATGATGAGTACAACAGTAACACTGATGACAGCGATGCAAGATCTCAGTCAACTAATTCAGACTCTGACTCCAGTCACTCTTCTACCAAACCAAGTACCGGTATGTGTTTATAATTCACATATAATAAAGTAAGAGTTTTGTGTATATCTAATTGGGTTTTGAGTGCATGAAGTAAGATGTGTGTTAATCTGCATTAATGCTCGTGCAACAAATAATATGTTTGCTGTATTGGTTTTGCTTGTATGACAGTGATCCCTAATGCTGACGAGATTGATGTAGCTAGGAAGCAACGTCGTGCTGCTCGAGTCCAGAAAGAGTTTATTCCTCTGAGCAGAGATGGCCGAAGCTCGGCTGGCAGCACCCCAAGTCACAATAGCAGAGATGATGACGACGATGATGATGATGATGAGGCAGATGATCATAAAAAAAGAATTGAGTTTGCCCCACGAATGAAGAGCATCAGGGAAAGGATTGCAGAAAAACTAGGTATGAGTGGGACGGATGAAAAAAAATATTTTCGTTAAATTCACTTAGA